GAGAGAGAGAGAGAGAGAGAATGGACAGGTATCATTCCAATGACTAATAATTAGTACCTTTTCACTTTGAAAATCCAGATGTAGGTTGTCTATGTAAGGAACATTAGCAAGGAGCTGACTTAACTCAAGAGTCCTAGTTGGTCGGGTGCCAATTTTAGTTAGCCTCTGCTTTGAAAGTTGTGGTACAAAACCAAAATACAGGGGACCTTTATGAGAGTAACCAGCCCTTATAGCTCACCCGTTGGAGTTTTGGTAGGCATGTCAGCTCAACTATCTCAAATTTCCCAAAGTCGACCTCGAGCTCAGTAAGTTTAGCATGTTCTAGTTGCAGCACAGAATTCATCCCCGAGTCGCAATTGGTTAAATGCAAAGACTCCAAGAGCTTGCAGGTGCTGAGGATGTTGGGTATGTCCGACTCACCAAACCTCATATTGCACAGCCACAGGCGCTTGAGGCCATCAAATGCATCCGGACAAGCACTAAAAAAATCATTGAACTGCTTCGCATGGTCGAGGAGCTCGGCAGGAGAACACTTGTGAATTTTCTCTGTTATGATCTCAAACTCAGCTGCACCAACCTTGTGTGTTGTCATGGCGCGGGCGCCGGATTTGCCAATTGTGTAACAATCAGGTTGCGTCAAGATGAATCTGATTTTGAGTTTGCTAATGGTGATCTCCGGGCTCCTTGTGCTCAAGATGTTATCCGTTACATGAGCTACAGCACTGTTGGCTCTGAAAAATTCACTGGGGTCGAAAACATGAGCTCTAACATGGTGACCTGGAATGGAACTACAGCTTAGGAAGAAGCGTGAGAGCTTGGTACAAAGGTGCATCATTCGTTTCGAGAGGAGGCAGGCCCTTATTGCATCAAGCGTGTCGACCCTCTCCAGAATGTTGAGCAGAAGGTCATTAGGCAGCTTGTTGAGCCTGTCTCTGACTCCTTCGCTGCCGGCAGTTTGTTTGCTGAGAGTTGTTTTTGTGTTGCATTTACCTGGAACAACAAATAATCAACTGTTGTTTAGGAAGAACCTTTCATTAGTAGTACAAAATATCAATCAGGCACAAGAAAAAATAACACTTACATTGTGTCTGCGGTGACGTCTTTTCTTGGTCATGGCTGGTTAGATCAACAGCTTGATGCATGCACTATTTGGATCGACCTTATTTGAACTGCGACAAGTAGCAGATGCCTGATCTGCCCATACTCGAATCCCCCCTGCTCCTCTGTTTATTTAGGCCAGCACAAGAAATCAGACTAATCGCCGGCGAAAATAAAATTTCCTACTCCTCCAACTCCTATATTTAACAGTTTTGCTAAAGCACATCTAGATGTGTTATAAGTATTTGCACATTTAAGTCCTATGTCATTGATCTTATGTTCTTTATTTAATGAGGCCGGCTGTCGTCGAGAAGGGAGGAGATATTAGAGGAGAGGGGGGAGGATCCTGATTACAACTTCTCAATAGCAAGGTTTTTGAGTCGCCTAGCCAAGTCGAGTCGCCATGCCTCCGACTAGTGGCTCGCTGCGATTAGTCTGCGACTCGTTGTGATTAATCGCCCCAAGTCACCCCAGATGTTAAGAGGAGGAGGAGGGGGAAGAGGAGGAGGAGGGGGAAGAGGTGCTGTTGCAGGCGGAGGAGAGGGAAGGCAGCTGCTTGGAGGATACTTCGGCTCGGAGAAGGCAGGAGCAGCTCGTAGGAGCAATGGAGGCGGCGATTCTGATGTGGGATGGGAGCACGCGGCTTGCTCCTCCTCTGTTTCGTGCTAGAGAGCTGGCCCAATAGGCCCATTATGCAACCCTAGCTTCCAAATAAAATCCCAACCGTCCATATGCTCTAATCTGGACCGTGCATCTGCTCTCCCATGTGCCTTTCTCCTTCGTCTCTTCCGTGCTTCTCCTCGTACAGGCGGCGCACTCTCCAGCTTCGTCTCCTCCTCCCCTCCCTCGAACTCTGGCCTGCTCACCTCCCCAGTCTTCCCTCCCTTGGCCTTGCTGAAGCAAGCCGCCCTGCTCTGAGGTCCTAGTCGCCCGACTAGTCGTCGACTAATCGTCGACTAGCCTACCAGCCGCGCGACTCGCTCCTCAAGCCAAGTCGCCTACGCAAGCCAACCTCGCTCCAACGACTTGGCGATTAGTCGGCGACTCAAAAACCTTGCTCAATAGATAGACTCTTCCGGGCAAAAATTACTCCTTTTGGACCGCCCTTGCTGCACAAACAGAAATTTATCTCTTCTCTTCCCCAATTGCACAGTTCCTATAAAAGGAAGGAGATTATTAGAGGAGAGGAAGCGGATCGTGATTACAACTTCTCTTTTTTTAATTTTTTTGTGTGTGGTGTG